CCTGGCTCTGGGGGTGTCAAAGTGAAATAATAAATAAATAAAGCTCAGGGAAGGGGCCTGGAGAAGGGGAGCTGCCCCTTGCCACCCCGAGAATTGGGCTGCAGGGCTGGAGCTCCGTCCTGGCTGGCGCACGTTGTCCTGATGGTTTTCCTTGGCTGTCTCTGAGGCTCGGTCTGGCCGATCCACACCCCACGGCTGCCAGGCTGTGCCAGCCTCTTACATGTCCTCGGCGTCACCTCCCCTGTCCCCAGGGTCCCCACCTGCTGTGACAGGCGCAGGAGGAGGCAGGAGCAGGGGACGCTACTGGTGGCTCAGGGCCAGACCCCAAAGGGTGCTTGGCTCCTGGGTGAGGTCCCAGCTGAGCTGGGATATCAGTGGGATTGGATTTCTTCTTCAGGGGGGGATTTCTTCTTCAGACTGAAGGTCTGGGTCAGTCCCAAAAGCCCAGAGCCTCTGGAGGCCGGGGCCAGCACGGAGGGTGTGCACGGGAGGCCTTCCAGCCGTGTTTGAGCAGGAAACGAGTCCCACGCAGACACCACGCCGCTTTACGGGGTTTTGGTTGACCGAACTGGAGTTGAACATTGCTGGAAAGTCACGCCAAGGTTTCCTCCCAGCACCACGGCCCCAGCTGCACAGGGGAGTCGAAGGATTCCTCCACCACCCCTCGGGGTTATTGATCCGTGGGGGTCCCGCAGGCCCATGCCATGGGTGCATGGGATGGGGGTGTCCCTGTCACCTCGCCCTGGGGACGTTGTGCCCAGCGGGGGCTCCGTCCTGCCCTTTACATGATTCACAAGCTCTCCGTCCTTCCCCACCTCTCTGTAACCCTGGGCAGGCCTTCAAGGCCTCGGCCCTGCAGCAGTGAGCTCCCAGGGCGGTGCTCGTCTGCCCTGCGGTCACCGGTGGCTGCACTGGGATGGAGTGGGAGGGAAACACCCCGGGGGGCACAGCCCAGCTGGCAGGACCCACCAGGACAGTCCGTCTGTCCCTCCGCCCCACGACAGGACCCATTCACCCTCCATGAGGCAGATATTTGCCATGTGCCCGTGCCCGGAGCCTCCCCAAAAAGGGGATCGCCTCAAGGGAGGCTGAGTCCTCAGCTGCTGGGAACTGGGGACGGAGCCGGCTCCCTGCATTAACTCAGCGGCCACCTCAGCCCGCAGCATGACTTCACCGTCGGGTGAATGGCCCACCATGGAAACCAAACCTCAGGAATGCGGCTGGGTGTGCCGGCTCCGGCTCCGCGCTCCTCTCCCCAGGGCTCAGGCACAGCTGGAACCCTCCCAGCCTAGCAAATGGCTGTCGCCCCCCTCCCTCTCCAAAATCCTGCCCCGGCCCACCTCCTTGCTGGAGATGGACCCACCCGTGAGGTGTGTCTCTGTTGGCAGAGGATAAATTTTGGGTCAGCCTGGTGAGACCTGGGAGCAGCGGGACACTGCCGTGGTGAAGGGGGCAGGGGTGCAGGTGCCTGCTCGGGGGCTCGGCGGTGGGCACAGGGTCTGGTTTTCCATTTGGGCTGTGAGCGGGCAGCCGCCAGGCTCAGGTGCCTCCCGCGCCAGCCTCTCCATCTGAGTCACGGGAGAGGCCGGCAGCACGCTTGGAAAACTCCAAAATGCTGCTCAGGAGCTGAGCTCTGGGACCTCGCCAGCCCCCTGGGCCACGAGCACCACGTGAGGCTGGGAGGGGAAACTGAGGCACGGCCGGGCTGGCAGGGATGAGCCACGGCTGAGCTGGCTCGCTGTCGTTATCCACACGGGGATCCACAGCATCAGGGCTGCCTGGGGAGGGGAAATGTTTTTTTCCCTCTCTCCCTCCCTTCCCCACGAGCCAGAGGCAGCGTCAGCCCGGTTTCCCCTGTGCGCTGCCGCGCCAAGCGCCTCTGCAACCGCTGGAAAATGCATAAAAGCCCCGGGCAGGGCTGCAGGAGGGTTCCTGGCAGTCACAGCTGGATCCAGCCGCTGGCTTAAAGCAACCACACGGCCACGCCGGGCTGTGCCCTGTCCCCTCTCCTTCCCCAGGCTGTGCCCATGGGATTTGGGCAAGCTCACCCCATCTTATTTGGAGCTCTGGGGTCTGTCCCCTCAGCACTGTGCTGGCACAGGGCAGCCCAGGGGCAGGAGAGGGGCTGTGGGGTTTGCCCTGGGGATCCTGAAGCAGAGAGGGGCTGGCCCTGCTGTCACCCTGCCAGGCATATCCCTTTCTCACCTGTTTTTGGCAGAAATCATGCAAAGCCCCAGGGGTTTGATGCCACGCAGGGCAGAAAGGTTTCCTCAGCTCGGCATGGGAAGAAAAACCCAAATGTGTCACTGTGCCACCAGTCTCCGCCACCACAGGTCAGGCTGAACCTTGGGTCCTGCCCCAGACACTCAGGGTTTGGGGGAGGAAAGGGCTCATTTGGGATCCCTGTGGGTCGTGGCCCTCCCAAAGGGAGGTCCCTTGGCTCCTGTGGGATGCCCAGCCCCAGGACCGCGGTGCTGGCACGAGCTGGGCAGCTCGAGGTGCTGGGATAGACAGGACATGTTCCTGTGGGGGTAAGACTCATTAGCAGAACAGAAAGAAATCAGAAAAAGAAAAGAAGAAAAAAATGGAAATCCCACAGCAAAAAAAAAAAAAAAAAAAAAAAAAAAAAAAAAAAAAAAAAAAACAGTCGTGCTTTTTTTTTTTTTTTTTTTTTTTTCTTTTCTCACTGAAACAAAACCCAAACCATCAGTGGGAAGGCATTGGCTGGGTCAACCTGCCACAAGCCAGTCTTTCAGCATTACATAAACGTTACAAAAAAAGCTCCCTTCTTTGTCTGTACTTTTATTTAAAAAAATAAAAAATAAATAAAGCAGGTCTGCTCTGAAAAAAAAAAAGTCTCGAAACAAAAAAAGAGCTGTGGTTTGCTGTGAGAACGTCTAACTGAGCCACTTTGGCATCATCCCAATCCTCTCCCTTTCCCTGCTCTCAGAGATGCCCCGAGGCCCCAAACCTCACACCTCACCAGGTCGCCTGTCCCCATCTCCAGCAGGGACACCACCGGGGATGCCCTAACAGGAGGTGAGCGGGGTGGCCGCTGTCACACTCAGGGGGGGTCTGTGCCTTGCCCCCCTGCGCCTCCCCACGCAGTGCTACAGGAATGTGCCCAGGTGCCCTTTCCGCAGGTCCCTGCCAGCTCTCACGGGGCTCAGCACGGCTCCAAATGTCACCAAAATGTCACCAGGGTTGCGTAACTGCTGGATTTTGGTTTGGCTTCCCCATGCCCGAGGAGATGCCGTCCCTTTCCCTCCGTTGGCCAAGTGGTGGAGGGGACCAGGAGCCGAATCCAGCCCTGTGCTGGGCACTGAGCAGGGCTCTGCCTGCTGCCGGGTCTGGCTGCCCTCTCTCCAGCTCCAGGGAGAATAAAAAAAGCCAGGTTTGGCTTTGCTGTCGGCTGAGGGGGTTCTGGCTGCTTGGGTCAGAGCAGATAGCGCTGTGCTGGGGCAGGAGGCGAGGGAGCGCACGAGGCAGCAAGGAAAAGATGTGTGGAGGAGTGGTTTTGTTAAAAAAAAAAAAAAAAAAAAAAAAAACTTTCAGTTTGCTTCTCTTTCTCCTTTCCCAGGTGAATCGGGAAAGCGTGAGAACGTGGGGTTTGGCCTCAATTTTTCTAATGCTGAACCAGATGTAAAAAGTGCTGCTTCGTTTTGAGGCCGTGGGGAGGTAGCAGCGGGGTCCAGCTTTGGATGGGGGGGACTCGAGCCAAAACCTCGTGCAGGAGCACAGGAGCACCCAGAAATTCCCTGCACTTGTGGCCCGGACACTTTCCTGCATGGAAGCAGCTAAATTTTCAGGGCTTTGGCTCTGAGTCTGTTTGTGATTGGGGTCCCCCCTCCTCCGGGAGGTCCTGGGGTGGATTCACACCTCGCAGACCCCTCCTTGCTTCCCCCTGCAGCCAGGCTGGTGCTCAGTGGGGATCCCACAGCTGAGCCTTTCCTGGGGCCACAGCTTCAGCAGACCCCGACTTGCCTCTGGGCTTTGGGACCGGCCAAAAAAAAGCAGTCAGGGAAGGTGTGCAGGGACCTTTGGTGGTGGGAAGGCTGCAGGGTGCTGATTCCCGGGGAACTTTCTGCCCAGCTGGGTGGGAAATATGGAAACCAAGCTAAAGGGGCAGAATTGGGGAAAGAAATGCCACTTTCCTCCAACTTGGGGGGTTCCTGGAGCCGGGCCAAAAGCTGTTTGTGTACTGGGGGTTGTGTGGGTCCCACCGTATGGCCAACCCCATCAGGGGGCATGGGGAAGGGACTGGGATATCTCTGCTGGGCAGGAAGGGAAATATCCCAAAGGATTTCCTGTGGGCTTCGTGGCTGCGGCACGTGGCTGCTGGGGATGGGAGGATGATGACAGAAAGGGAGACATCAGAAACGGTGGGGTCACGGCTGAAAAATCCCTGTACTGAAAAATGCTGCATTTAGGGGAAAAGGAATGGTTCCTAGCAGGCAATGGGATGCGCTGTGTCAGCACGGGGGATGCGTAGCACCAGGTAGGGTGAGGGTCCCAGCTGGGTGCCTCCATCCCCCCAGGGACCCCAACGGTGGCTGTGCCCTGTTGCAAAGCTGGGATTTTGGTGTCCTTGTGCAAAACCGGGGTTTGGTCCCTCTATTTTTTGGGGTTCTCCCCCAAATGACCAGCTGGTGTCGGGGGAGCAGGAAAGACACAAATTCCTTTCCTGGCACTTTCCCTGAGAGCACTGGGACCCCCTCCCCACAACCGGGACCCTTTGTGGGTGCCAGCTCCGGGTCAGGGCTGATGCAACGCACCGTGACGGGGGCCAGCAGACACCCAGGGGTGCTGGGGTGCCCCCCTAATATCCCAGAGGGTGTCCCCTCAACGAGGGGATGGGGGAAGGGGGGCGATTTGGGGTGTCCCCATCCCCTGCAGCCACCGAGGGGACCCGGGAGAGATTTGGGGTTGGGGCGATGTCAGGGGGCAGGGCAAGAGTTAAGCTACCTGCGCGTCCATCCCTCTTGACTCCACCTCGAAGTCCGAGGGGAGGGAAGAGGGAAAAAGGAAAAAAAAAAAAAAAAAAAAAGAGGAGAAAGAGGAAAAGGAAGAGGGCAGAGCGCCGCGCACGGACCGCGGGCAGCCCCGTCCCGCTCCCAGCATGTTCCAGTGGTGAGTGCCGGCCGCGGGGGGGCAAAGGACGCTGCTGTCCCCTGTCCCCTGTCCCCTCTCCTGGGGGTCTGCAGGAGGGCAGGGGGCTCCGAGGTGCCCTGCACCCCATAGCTCGGGGTCGGGGAGAAGGGGGCGAACGGGGATGCCGCGGGGTCCCGTCCCGTCGGGGGTCCCATCCTGCCCGGGGTCCCCTCCTCCTGGGGGGTCTCATCCTGCCCAGGGTCCCATCCTGCCGGGGGTCCCATCATATTGGGGTTCCCTTTCCCATCTCTTCATCTTTTTACGCCCAGGGGATGTGTCGCCGGCTTGGGGACAGCCGCTGGGGACCGGCTCTGCGCTCGCGTTTCCTTTTGGAGAGTTTTTTTTAGGGTGGGGGGGTCCCAGCCCCAGCCCTGCCGAGCCCCCCTCGGCCTCAGCACCAACACAAGGGCTCTGTGCTGCCGCTGTCCCCGCCGGCTCAGCCACCCCTAATTAAAAGGGATAATAAAATCCTAATAAACGGGTGGCCCCTGCCAGGCAGAGGGGGGTTGTGCGCCTCTCCAGGGGCTGGGGGACACAGCTTGAGCCTCCTGGGGTCCCCAGCATCACCCCTAAAGGGCGATCAGCCCCCCTCTAATTTGGGGTTATATCTAACCGCCTTGGGCACAGGCAGGGCAGCCTCACAGGGATGCTTTTGATTTGTTCCTGGCGGAGAAAAGGGAAGAGGAGGCCTGGATCTGGACCCTTCAAAGCCCCCTCGATGGCACCCACGGCAGCTGGGCCCGGTTGGCGCAGGTGGGAGGCACCAAGGGGTGACCCCGCTGGGGACACGTCAGGGTCCCAGAGCAGGGAGTGGGGCTGAGCGGGGTCATTCCCATGCCATGACGGCTCCAGAGAACCCAAAACACCGTCCTCATTTCTCCTGCAAAGCGGTGGTTTTGGGGTCCCGACAGGGCAGGATGGGGGCAGGATGGGGGCTGCTCCCCCTCGTGTGAGTCCCACCTTAGGAGACCAAAGGCCGGAAAGACAGGAGGTTAGAAAAGCCCTACATATAATTACTATTTTTATTTTATTCATTTATTTTTCCCCATCAAAATGCCTGATTGGATGTGGGAATTGCCCCAGGTGGTGGCTCAAGGTCCCCCGGTCCCCGTCGCTTCCCCAGGACGGTGCCATGGGGTTGTGCATGGGGCGAGCGGGGTTTTAAGCACTGAGCGGCTGTGCTGGGGTCCGAGCTGCTGCTGTGCCGGGACCAAAGGGGTCCTGAGAAACCCAGGAGCTGCGAGGCGGGGGCTGGAGAGGGTTAAAGGCAACGGTGAGCTCTGCTCTGAGCTGCTCCCTCATCAGTCTCAGACGAGTGGCCGCGTATAAAACCAGCTGGGACCGTCCATGCGCCCCTTTGCCTGTAATTACTTATTTCCACGCCTGTTCTCACAGCCCTCGCTAGCCATCGTGCTTTTCCCTCATAAAGATGGGGCTGAAAAACGTTCTCTGTGCCGGAGGGCGACACCAGAGATTGGAGCTCCCGACAGCTCCTGGCTCCACATTTAGGGTCCCCGTTTCAGGCTGAGCAGGGTCCCTGCCACCAGCTGCCAGCGTTGTTCCCCTCCTGGGGGTGTGAAGCACGACGGTGCATTTGTAGGATGCCATAATACACCAGGACAGAGAGTTTAGTTTCTTGAATTTATTACAAGGCCAAGGACAGCAGGTATATACCGAAATGGACGTACGTAGACACACCACCAGGAGCGGGGCTGATCGAGGGCAGAAAACCCTCACGTCACATCACCCGTGCCCGGGGTCCCCTCTGAGATCCATGGCTGGAGAAATCCCTGGGAGAGGTTTCTTTGGGGCAGATCTGGAGTTCCCACAGCGCGGGGAGGCACCTTCCTACGCCTACAGCTGGGGCCAGCTTCTGTTTTCCTGGGCATTATCACAACTTCTTTGTTCTGCGCTTATCGGGGCTGTCCCAGGCTCCCCGCTGCACTTCTCAAGGATGCTGCGGGTTCCCAGGCAGCTTCTCGCAGTACTTTTCCATCAGGTCGGGTCGCTCTTAGGGCTGTTAGTCCCCAGCCCCTGCCCTCAGGCACCTGAGGCTGACAGAGCAGAGGAAATTGGTGCCCGTGTGCCAGCTGGGGGGGAGCCAGGTGCTTGGGGCAATGCGGGGTGAAGATGGGGCATCAGCAGGGTGAAAAACCTGCTTTGCTTTAGCTGGGTGTGAGGAAGCAGCTTGGGGGGATTATGGGGTGCAGCAGCAATCGCTGGGTCCCTTTTGAGCCCCCAACGAGCTGCACGCAGGGTTTGGGAGCTGCCCCCAGACACAGATCCACAACGTTTGGTGCTGCAAGGAGAAGCGTTGGGTCCCAAGACCTGGCCCCAGCTGTGCCCCAGAAATGCTGGGCACGCAGGGATGTCTTTTCCCAGCCCGACCTTCAATTTCCTTTCGAATACCATTATTTTTTTCTTGGTCCCGAGCTGTTATTTTGTAATGAAAAGCCGCTGCCTGCCTCGTGTCGGATCCTGCAGCCTTCCAGGCGCTGGTTTCTCAGGGCTGTGCCACCCGAGATGCCAGTCTAGGGCCATGGGAAAGGACGTCCGTGTTTTGGAGCTGATGTTTCCCTAGAAAAGATAATTCCTGTCTGCTCCTGTCCCAAACTGAAATTTTCAGACAGCCGAATGAAGGGTTGCCCTTGGGATTTCCTCCAAAACAGCGGCTCTGATGAAACTCCCATGCCCAGCAGTTTGCAGACACGTACCCCGGTGGCACCCTCATTTCTCCTGTCTTTCCCTGGCTCCATCTCTCTCTCGTCCCATTTTCTCCTCTCCCCTGAGCCCTTTCCAGCTCTATGCAGGGACGCAGGGCTGTCAGAGGACACTACCTGTCCCTGCCTGGCCTGAGGGTTGCCCCAAAATCAGGATAGAGCCGTGGGAAGGGCAGTGTGGAGGTGTCCCCCAGCACTCCCCTCAAGGCTGCCACCTTGTGATGGGTGCCGGGCTGTGAGCAGCCCTCGATCCTCGGCTCCTTTTGTCCATGAACTTGCCAGATCCAGCACTTTTCCTCTCCTTACCCGCCCCGTCTCGCCCCTGTAGGAAGAAGACCATCTACAAAACGCTTTGCCTGTCCTTCCTGCTGGTGGTGACGGTGACGGTGCTGCAGCGGGGAATGGCCCCCAGCCAGTTCATGCAGGGCCAGCAGCCGAAGGAGCTGCCCCCTGCCGAGCCCCTGAAAACGCAGAAGAGAGGCGAGGCCTTCTCCGTCACCAGCACCTTCTGGAACAGCAAGAAGGAGAAGGCTCCCGGGAAGCAGGAGGAGAAGGAGGAGGAGGAGGAGAGGGCGACGGAGAAGCAAGCGAGGTCGTGGGACATCGTCACCTCCAACTGCTCGGCCAACCAAAACCTCAGCCAGGCGGAGTGGTTCAAGGGGCTGGAGCCCCACTTCCAGCAGTTCCTGCTCTACCGGCACTGCCGCTACTTCCCCATGCTGATCAACCACCCCGAGAAGTGCAGCGGGGGCGTCTACCTGCTCATCGTGGTCAAGTCCATCGTCACGCAGCACGACCGCCGCGAGGCCATCCGCAGGACCTGGGGCCAGGAGAAGGAGGTGGAGGGCAAGAAGATCAGGACGCTCTTCTTGCTGGGCACGGCCGCCAAGGAGGAGGAGAAAGCCAACTACCAGAAGCTGCTGGATTACGAGAACCACATCTACGGGGACATCCTGCAGTGGGATTTCCTGGACAGCTTCTTCAACCTGACCCTCAAGGAGGTGCACTTCCTGAAGTGGCTCAACATCTACTGCGACAACGTCCACTTCGTCTTCAAGGGCGACGATGACGTCTTCGTGAGCCCCAGCAACATCCTGGAGTACCTGGAGGACAAGACGGAGGGAGAGGACCTCTTCGTGGGGGACGTCCTCTACAAGGCCCGGCCGATCAGGAAGAAGGAGAACAAGTACTACATCCCCAGCGCGCTCTACAACAAAAACAGCTACCCGCCCTACGCGGGGGGCGGGGGCTTCATCATGGCTGGGTCGCTGGCCAAGAAGCTGCACAAGACCTCGGAGACGCTGGAGCTGTACCCCATCGACGACGTCTTCCTAGGGATGTGCTTGGAGGTCCTCAAGGTATCGCCCGTCGGGCACGAGGGCTTCAAAACGTTTGGCATCGTGAGGAACAAGAACAGCAAGATGAACAAGGAGCCGTGTTTTTTCCGGGGGATGCTGGTGGTTCATAAACTGCTGCCTCCGGAGCTGCTCCAAATGTGGGACTTGGTCCACAGTAACTTGACGTGCTCGAGAAAACTCAACGTCCTTTAGCTCAGTCTCTCTGGAGAGCTGGGACTGGAGGGGCCGGGGGCAGCTGCTCCCTGCCCCGGGGGCGCGGTGAGCCTCGGCTCGTGGCACACGAGGAGGGCAGAGGCTCCGCGGCCACGGGCAGGGCTTGTGATAGTGTTTGTTCCTGTACTGTAACGTGGTTCACTTATCTCCAGCTGGGTTGGGGGTTGCTGAAAAAGAAGAGAAAAAAAAGAAAAAGAAAAGGGAAAGAAAGAAACCCGAGCACTAAATGGAGAGAGAAAGAGAGGGAAGAGGGTTTGCTCCCTGCTTTAGGTACCACCTCCACCAGAAGATGAACGATGGGGCTGGGGGGAGGCAGGAGGGACGTGGCACGCTTGTTATTTTTTGGAGATGTTCAGGGTCTGGCAACCCAGGGAAGCTTCTCCAAGGGGGCTGAGTGGTTTACATGTACGTGAGCCCCCCACCACTCAGAAGTCAAGGGGATTTTGTTGTCTGAACCGCCTGCTCCGTGCAAGGTTGAACCTGTGTGCCTTGGGCTCGCCCCCTCACAAAGTCCTCTCCGTGTCCCCAGTGTGCGGGTGGGGGAAAGGGGCCAGCCCCTCCCTGGGGCCAGCCCCGAGCCCCCATTAGGGCTGCTGGTTTTCAGCCAGGAGGTCGGGGAATCAGGGCTTTATCCCCCAGTGGAGGTTCCCACAGGACTTTGGTTCCCGGTGCCAGCCCTGGCTGCGCATGCGTCGCGCTCGAGCAAACACACCCAGCCAAAATTCCTCAGGGATTTGATCTTCCTGGCAGGAAAGCGAAGAGCCGGGGTGGGCTGTCCTTGCCCACGGCCAGGGAAGCAGCAGGGGCACCGGGTCAGCCCCAGGTGGGTGCTGTGGGCATCGCTCCCTGCCTGGAGCGGGGTCCCAGGTGAAGAAGGGCTGGTGCCGTGCACCGCGTCCGCTCCTCTCCGGGCTCTCAGAGTGTGCATTTCTATATGGCGGGGCTGAGGAGTGTGACAAGGGGTGACACCACACGGCATGGCCCTTTTTCTGCTCCCCACCATGTCTTAGGGCTGCTGGAGGTGTCAGGGTGAGCCCCAAGCCAGCTTCTGTGGTGGAAAACCCATGCAGCGACGTGGCCACGCACCCCTGGGTGCTCTCCAAGCCACACGACTGCCAGCTGTGCAAGGCCACACGCGTGTGCAAAGCCACATGGGCTCCGGTGTGTCACCTTCTGGGGCGGGGGCACAGCGTCTGTACACCAGACACCATCCCCGAGTGCAGGGTTTGTGCAGCCGACTGTCCCTGTGCGTGGTGGACGTGCACAGCCACAGCCACGGCCCTGAACACGAGCAGCGAAACGCGCACACGTGTGCTCTCTCTCCTCGCTCTCTCTCTCTCTCCTTCTCTGGTGCCAGACATTGAAAGGAAAAAATTTTCTACTACCTCAAAGGTCCCCCTGTGCAGTGCCTTTTTTTTTTTTTTTTTTCCCCTTAATGTGTTCTGGAAACGTGCCTGTTTCATTCACTCCAAGCCTGTATGTTCCCCAGGTTAGAAAACAAACAAGAAGGGGCGCGCGGCAGCCAAAAGAGCCACCCGCGCGCCAAGCCACGCCACTTCCCCTCTGCAAATGCCCCTCGTTGGCTCCGACGAGCTGCAAATTTTGGAGAGGGAAAACCAGAAAAAAAGGGAAAAAACAGAAAAAAAGGGGAAAACCGTTGGGTGGCAGGGCTGGCATTTGATTGACGACGTGCCCGGCGGAGCTGCGGCCCCAGGGCACCTGCGGGGCAGAGCCCGAGGGCATGGTTGGTGCCCGCTGGGCACCGAGCACGCGGTCATTTCCCATCCTCTCGGTCGTTTCCCATCCTCTCGTGGGTTCAGAAATGCTTCCCCAAAAGGCACCTCTGTCCCTGATGTCGGGTATGGTTCCTTGGGCTCTCTGCTTGCCCCGTAGGTGGGGGCGGCGCTCGGAGAGCCGGGGCCGCGTGCCGAAATCTTTCAGTGTTGGCTCTTCACCTGGCGGGACCTGTACGGAGAAACCGTGTAGATTTGGTGAATATTTTTAGTTTCTAAATAAAGGTTACAAGAAGAAGGAGAAGAAATAAAAGCACCCAAGCCCCGTGTCATTGCTAGCCCCCTCCCCAGGACGGGCTGGCTGCTTGGGAACTGAACCTGGTGGTGGGCCACGGGCGCAAATGGGGCTGCAGTTCCCTGATGTGGCTTCATTGCAGATCCTGTTGTGGTGTTTAACGAGGTCCCGTGGATATTTTCTGTCTTCCAAGCGCTCCTCCAGCTGTATTTCAAACTTTGGGCCGCCCTGGCACGCTCCAGCCCCATGGGAAGAGCTGTCTGGGCACTCAGCTCCTGGCAAACCTCCTCCTCTCCTCGCCCTGCAGGACATCACCACCTCGCTGTCCCCGTCACCCTCTCCAGGCCACGTGTTCCCCATAGCACCATGCTCGCTGCCTTTAGGAGCATGCAGGGCAATGGGGACCCCAAAGCAGAGCGAGCCGCATGCACAGGGACAAACCCACATCAGGTTTGGCGTTGGCTGGGGTGGAGAGAAGGAAAATCATGCCAGGAGATCGATGGGTGTCAGGGGCTGGGTTTTTGGGGCTGGCACCTACCGTGGCTGCTCAGCCCAGTGACGGATGCAGAGAGGTGACCAGAGGGGACTGGGATCATGTAGGATGCTGCCAGCTGGGCCGTGCTCCATGTCCTGTTGCACCCGGGCTTCCCCAGGTGTGAAAAAGGCAAAAAGCCAAGCTTGGGGATGCTTTTCCTCTTTCAAGCATGACCCAGAGCTGCAGCACCGCTCCCTGGGGAGCCAGCGGGGAGAAAATACCCAAGGTGGCGGCGTGGGGAGGCTCCATGGCAGGGTCCCGGAGCGAAATCCAGGTTTGGGGTTGAAGGCAGGGCGGTGAAAGCCTCCTCCCGGGCGGGTGCTGCCCTCTGCCGCCCGGCCCCGCCGCCAACCTCCGACCATTTGCCGCCGGGGCCAACGACCCGCCTCTAAAATGGCTGATGGCAGCGGGGGGAAGGCGAGCACCGAAGCCAAAAAGCGAGCCTTGGCCCTGGTTGAGTATAAAAAGTTTATTTTCATGTGCTTTGCAGGGCTCCAGCTGCTAATGACAGTTCTTTTCTACATACACCCACTGCTCCCATGCTTAGTTTTTCCAGACAAGAAGGTGCAAAGCACTGTAGCAAATCCTTCTCACATGATTTGTTTTGGGAATTAGGAAGTAGAAACAGCATTTAATGGGCTGCAGGAGCTTGGCTGAGGCAGGTAGGTGCAGGACTGCCACCACCTGCAAGGTGTCACAGCACGGTCTTGTGCTCAGGGTCATTGTCCCCTGGCTGGGAAAGAGGTCAACTAATTTTTGGGTGAGGGGCAGAGGCTGCCAGCACAGCTTGCAGGAGGTGACATTTATTTGAGCCTGCACAGCCCTGTGGTGACAGCCACAGGGTGCTGTGAGCAGCCCTGCCCCAGCTTGACCAAAGCAGCAGCTGCCCCTCTGCTCTCTGCAGCCACGTGCTGCAGTCACTCAGGAGCAGCTTTGTCTGCCAGCAGCTGCTGCAGCAGGAGCCCAGCCAAGTCCTGGGGGAGGAAAAGAGGCCCAGAAGGGCAGCTCCTCACCCCCACAGAGCTGTTAAGCAATCACACTTACCCAGCCCAAGAGGGGACACAAGGAGAGGGGCAGTTGTTCAGAGTTAAAACAGGATGGGGAACATTCCCCACCATGTTTTAACAGCCTGCTTCACAGCTGGAGAGACAGACAAGAGGCAAGACTACTGTTGGTACTGGAAGGTTCTGTGAAAGTTCACCAAGCTCCTGCTAGTCAGTCACCAAATCATTTTTTTTTTAAATAAGTAAGTAAAAAGCAAGTGGAAAAGAACACGGTTTCTGTCTTAGTCCTATTCCTTCTTGCAAGTAGATTATGCTTAGAGTAACCTGTATATGTTGGTAGTTGTCATTGCAGGCTAAACCAGAAGCAAGACATGAGCTGCTGTCTGCAAAGTTAGCAACTTTAAATGAAGGCTGAAGCCAGAATTTCTCCCAGCCTACTTTAGGTGGCACAGAATTAACACGAACCAGTTTAGGTCCTTTAATCTGTCCAAGACAGGGTGCTGAAGCACAAATGATAAAACATTCTGCATTTTTACAGCAAAAATGCTACCGAAGTTTATAGGAAAAAAAATATTTTTGTACATGGGTAAAACATTATAAATTCAAGACAACTCACAGACAAGGGGTAAATTCCCACATCTATCGCTCATTTCTTTTAAAAAGTTCACTTGAATGGGCAAGCAGTCAAAAGGGCTTGCTCTCTCTTCCTTGAAATGAAAACTGTTTCTTCCAAGTGGCTCACAGTACTCCTTTGCACCTTGGAATGTCCTCCGAAGGCTCCGCCGAGATAAAAGGAGAATAAAAACCCCCGGAGTCCTTTCAGATAGTCTCAGAGAGCAGGAGAAGGGAAAGGAAAAGGGAAGTTTATTCAAACTTGATCTTCTTCCCTTGGGGCTTGTGATCTCCACCTCCTCCTCTGCCTCCTCGGAAGCCACCTCCTCTACCTAGAGAAGAGATTAGGTCAAGAAGTGAGATTAGGGCAAGAAGCAGAGCTGCAGCTGTCCCTGCACACGTACCACTGCCCTTCCAAAACCCTCTTGGCACAGGACTGAAAACAAATCCACATCAGGCACTCCATGGTGACTACAAACCATAAGCCCTTAGCTTTTGACTATGCCCCTTAGAGGAGGGGTGTTTGCATCTCCTTACCTCCAAATCCTCTGCCACCACCTCTGCCACCAAATCCACCTCTTCCGCCTCCTCGGCCTCCTCTGCCACCACCTCTGCCACCGAATCCACCACCAAATCCGCCGCCACGCTGGAAATCGCCCTTTGGCTTGGCAAAATCAAGGGTCACTTTGTTTCCGTCTATCTCCCCATCCTCCATGGCTTCTTTAGCTGCTTTGGCATCTTCTGGGGAGCTGAAGTCCACAAACCCAAACCTAGGCAGCAGATTAAGAGAAAGATGGTCAAACTCCATGAACTGAAGAACTGCAGCACCACCTACAGGCATATGATAGCAACAGCTTAGGAAACAACTGCGTTTCTGCAACCAGGGATCAGAAATGTTACTTGTAGAACAGTAGTGGCTAGTCGCAACCGATGGAGCCATGTCACAAGTGTGCCAGTACTGAACTGTTAATATCCTTCTCGTGCGAATCCATAGGCTGCCACAGAGGTGTTGGCAGGAAGGAGCTCATTGAGAAGTGAGCATGCAGTCAAATGTTCATTATTAGTAGCATGCTACTGGACCTGAATCCCAGATCATGCTTAACGTACCCTTTAGAAGATCCAGTGTCTCTGTCTGTGACTATTCTAGCACTTATGGAGCCTTCAAATGATTCTCTTAGCGTCTCCTCTGTTGTGTCCTCAGAAAGGCCTCTGACAAACAATGTTTTGCTTTGTTCTGTGGAAAGACAATACAGAGCTCGTCTCAGCAAAGCCACCATCAACCTCTCAGTAACGCAAGCTGGAGTTGGTACCAACTCCAACAACAGCTCCTGTGGTTCAGGGGTTTGCTTTCAAAAGGAAGCCCAGAACAGCTAAGGCACCCAAAGATGACCTGGAAAGCTTTTTCAGGACTATTTGTCTAAGAGCATCCCTATGTGGACCAGTTTGGTACTGTCAAATTCACCCCCCCAGCCCCTGTAATAAATGATAGCGTCTTATCAGTATGGATACTGACTGGACAGACTGCTGGATCAGCACTTGACTATCTAGAGGAATTTGGAAACAGTTTCATCATCATCTCAGATAATCAGTCATCATATCCAGCACACTCACTTATGATAGAAAACTTCTGTACCACAGGTTTATTTACGTGAAATACTTACGGTTAAATCCTCCTCTTGCATTCGTGTTCCCTTTCTGCCACGCTGGTGAACTGAATTCCAGTCTGATTGCTCTGCCTTCAATTTCTGTGTTGTTACAGGAATTCAATGCCTCTTTGGCATCCTCAGCTGTGGGAAATTCTACGAACGCGTACCTGTTGGGAGAGGAAGATTTCAGTCAGGTTGGGAGCACAGGACATCAGTGGAAGTAAGGCATTCACAATGACAACAGAGAAATCAGTTTTAAGTCAAACATACCCTTTAGGCCTGCCCTGGTTGTTCTGTGGCATCTTGATGGAAGAAGCTTTTTTAAACAGTTCTTGGAGAGTCTCCTCTGAGGCAGCGTATGAGAGGTTGTTTACAATCAGGGTCTTTGACTCCCTCTCTCCACCTCCTACAAAAGAAACAGTGTTTTACATACAGGTTTGGAGAGAGAAAGCTCCCTTTCCTCTTTACGCATCCCACAGATTTGGAAATGTACCTTTCTGGTTTTCTTGTTGGCTCTTCTCACCGGTGTAGTCAATGACCATGGCACGACCATCGATCTCTGTGCCCTGCTTCTCCTCCAGAGCTTTGTCTGCCTCAGCTTCTGTTTTGAATTCAACATAGGCCATCCTACAGCAAAGGAAAAGAACATGAACCAAGGTTCTTCCAGGAATGATTAAGTGAATGAGAGGGAAAAGCATGTAAAAAAAAAAAAAAACACTTAAAAATAATTATTTCAGTATATCTAATCCAGCAGATTCTTTAATGTAGTTAAGAGACAGACTAGCTCTTCAAAATACACGAAGAGTCTAAGAAACGGCAAATATCCAGTGTCCCCTTGGACACGTACCCTTTGCTGCTCCCTTCCTTGTTAAGTACTATTCTGACTTCTACTGCATTTTCGAACACGTTTTTCATTTCCTCTTCGGTTAAGCGGTAGGGCAGATTCTTCACGAACAGCGTTCTGGCATCTCTCTCTGCAAAGAGGAAAAAAGTTACTTCCACCTGATCAGCTCAAAATCCATGGGTCCTAAAACTGACGACAGAACCATTCCCCCTTGCATATCCATCCTTCCTCCCCATCCCCCCCTTGCATATCCATTTCAGCGTTTGAGAATCTGGTTGTAACAGAGCTCAGACCAGGGAGATGTGCTTCAAGAGCAGCACATCAGCCATCAGTAATACCACAAGCCCACTCCAAGGACCGATGACAACCTTTCTTTGATG